TTTCTTTACTGGACTCTTTTCTCTTTCTCTTGACTAGAAAGAAGAAAAAGGTGGATAATTCAAGCTACGTTCTGTTTTTGAATAAATGCATAAAACAAAGAAAGGTGCAGCTAACAGCTATAATAGATATATTAATAATAATAAACTAATCAAATGAGAAAATGAAAAATAAATTTATTTAAAAATAATGAAAATAATATAATAATAACAATGGATATATGAATCAGAAAGTATTATATAGATACAGATATTCTTTATTGTCATTCGCACCACATGTGGTACATGTGGTGGATCAAAATCATGTACACAGGGTCCCAGTTACATCCAACAATAAAATGTAAAAGAAAAACAGTAATAAGATCTAAAGATATGAACTAAGAAAAACATCAACTAAAAATATGATAAGCACTAATAGCATAAAAACAATAAACACAATACGCTGAACAGCAGCACAAACATGAGTCTGTGTGAACAGATGAGCACGAATGAACACAGCAACATGAAACAGATCAGCAGCAACATGAAACAGATCAGCAGCTACATGAAACAGATCAGCAGCAACATGAAACAGATCAACAGCAACATGAAACAGATTAGCAGCAACATGAAACAGATCAGTAGCAACATGAAACAGATTAGCAGCAACATGAAACAGATCAGCAGTTACATGAAACAGATCAGCAGCAACATGAAACAGATCAGCAGCAACATGAAACAGATCAGCAGCTACATGAAACAGATCAGCAGCAACATGAAACAGATCAGCAGCAACATGAAACAGATCAGCAGCTATATGAAACAGATCAGCAGCAACATGAAACAGATAAGCAGCAACATGATGTGATTTTTCAGTGATTATCCTGGTTGGATATTCATAAGGCTGCACAAACTCAAGTTCATGTTGCTGTTTAACGTATTGTTTTGGTTGTTTAATGCTATTAGTGCTTAGTGTATTATTAGTAGATGTTTTTTAGTTGATATTTTTCTTAATTCATATCTTAGATCTTATTACTGTTTTTCTTTTACATTTTATTGTTGTCTGTAACTGGGACCCTGTGTACATAATGTCATCCCACCACATGTTCAACATGTGGTGCATTTTCAGTGTTTATTCAACATTTTATTTTTTTTACTTTAAAAATAAAATAAATCAAGTCCTTATCGGCACGAATAAAGTGATGTGGAACATGTTGCATCTGTTCTTACCGAGCACAGAAAGATGCAGTGTTGTGCTGCTCTGTGAGGTGCAGCTGGGCTGTGATAGAGACCTGTAAATGGACTGTACTGTACTTATAAAGCGCCTTTCTATCTAATCAAGATACTCAAAGCACTTTACAACAATCTGTGCCCTCATTTACCCATTCATACAGCACTCTACTAGATCTCTACAAAGCTAATTGAACAAATCATTCTAAAGAGACTAATCAGAGCTTTAGATCACATTCATACACTGATCGGACACACATCAGAGGCAATGAGGGGTTCAGTGTCTTGCCCAGGGACACTTCGGCATGTGACTGCTGGTGACCTGTCAGGTGTAGATTCTGCTGATGGAGCATGGACAGAAGTCGGGAGACTTGGAGGGTTTAATGTGGAATTTAGAGACGAACCGTCACGTGCTGAAATATGTTCTGGATAAAATAAAGTGAGAAACGGGACCGGAAGACAGTTAGTGTTTATGCAAATTAGCTTAGCATTGTAGCACCGATGTTGTCCTATTATGGCGTCAGCCTCTTTTGTTAGTTAAAAATATGTTCAGATCCGATGGTATGAGTAACTTAAAATATGTTTAAAGTTAGAAAACACTCACCATCTTCTATAAATGATTCAAGTAGAGCAGTGGCCGTGTCCAAACCACCCTCCAATCGTTCCATCTAGCTCGTTTTGACTTTTGTCGTCGGCCACCAAGCACAACAACACCTGCAGTTCTGCATTTGACCACAGCTTTGATATTATTGTTTTTGTATAGCTTCAAAATACTAAAAGATACGCTCCTCAAGTTATCGCTAATGGCAGGCGGTAGAGAAAAATGGCGGATTGGGTTGTTTGGAAAGACTCCACAGACTCCTCCCCCCAACCAAGCAGTGACCGACAGTGTTTCTGACGTCATGGCTCGGCTCGCTTGGACCCCTTGAGAAGCCGGGCCAGAATTCTGGGAGGTGAGCCGGTCCCAAGAACTATGGAAAAGACCTCAAACACGAGTCAAACCGGAAATATCCGACCCGCGCCGTGACAGTGGAAAAGGGGCATTAGCTCCAGCAAACTGGTTGGTCCACTTAAGGTGTTTACTGCTTGGTGGGGAAACAGTTTATTGGAACTCCTCAGACTGATGAAGCCCTTCGTATAGAGGGCAAAAAGTCTCTTTAAAAAAGAAACTGTCCAGATGACCTGACTGAGAATTATTGGATAGCAATACATGATTTCAACATTCAGTGAAAACAAGTAATCAGAAGAGGAAAGGCTTCAAAGGATTACTTGGCACATATCATTGTAAGTAGGGTTAATTTTAGTAATGCATGAGCAGAAAATATAATTCATGTGATCACCTCATCCATAAAACAGTACAATACAACATTAAATATTTAAGCTGCTGACAAATTAAGCTGGAAAAAATGGAAGTAAGTCAAAATCAGGTAGTTTATTCAGTTCTGCCATTGCCGCTCAGGAAATCTGTTCACATAAAACAAGGAAAAAATGGACAACAAGGAAAAAATGCACAGCACATGATTACCGACCTGTCAATAAAATGATCTACAACAAGTAACCTTTATTAGCTTAATTAATCTTCCAAGTCAAGTCAAGTCAAATTTCTTTAAGAACAAAGGTCCACTTCTGTTCATTGACCGTTGGCAAAACCCACTCTGAGATCCTGTGTGTTAGTTATGCCATGTCCAGGGGCATCCCCCTGAGATCTGTCAAAGGTGGTTTTGGGAAACTTTTTTCTGGTATACATCTCAAAGTAAGAAAGACAAATACTGTTGTTAGAGAAAAACTCCAATTTTACCTGTTTAGCAGCTATGTACAAGAGTAGTTAAATGACCTTTATGAACACGTCAGGATTAGAATTGTCCTCTTTGTTGTTTGTGTTATAAATGTTGTAAATCGAGGAGGCACACTTCTGGAAACTTCACTTTAAAGTTAACACATTTATTTTCACACCATTAAAAGAGTACATGTACAATATTAAAAGCCGAATGCATTCAGGAGACAATCTAGTATGTCACCTTGATTCTAACGAGCCAAAAACCCAAGATTGTCTGGCTTTGAGAGTGCGTGCAGTGAATTATAAAGTTTTCCTTGTCCTACCTCTTTCTGGGGTGTATCCTATTTTGATTGGTTTCAAACTTTTAACAATGAGGGAGGGGGTCCTTTTGTATTGGTTGAACTCGTTACTAGGTATCCGCCCTCTCCTGCTCTTAGATTCTTAGATGAGAAATGTTTCGTCACATGTACCTGGGCTGACTGTTCCCTCTTGGCCTGTTATTTTAGACTCTTTCCTTTCTTTTCTTAGATATAGTAGAGTGCTATAAGAATGGGTAAATGAGGCAAAGATTGTGTTGTAAAGCGCTTTGAGTATCTCGATAACATAGAAAGGCGCTATAAAAGTACAGTCCATTTACCATTTACAATTTCCAGCCAGTGTCCCTTCCTGAGCTAGTTAAGCTTGTTTGCACCAAGAAAGCACCGTCCTGCTCCATCAGGCTTATTTAAGAGTGTTTTTCAGTGCATTGGCCCCAGTGTACTGAACTCAGTCAATGCTTCTTTAGCTTCTGGTCAGGTATATGTTTGTCTAAAGAGTGCTGTCATCCAACCACTCTTCAAAAAAAAAAAATATATATATATATGTACACACACATACATATGTATGTATGTATATATATATATATATATATATATATATATATATATATATATATATATATATATATATATATATATATATACTCAACAGGAAAGTCAGGTTTATGTCATCTAGTCATGTTTAGTTGTGGCACTGCATAAGAGGGTACAGTTTCTGTAATTTCACATTTGACACACTAACTTACTGCAAATTGCATTTCCACCTGCATAACTATGTATAAAATAAAAGCCATGGTCTTCTGTCTCATCTTCTGCTCATGCTGAGTCCATTTTTGAAAAATGACAAAATATAACTCCTAAAACTGTTAAAACTTGATGCCACTTCACTTTTGTTTTTATTTCCAGAAGAAGAAGAAGAAGTGTCTTCAGAGGTTTTCGTGTCGTTTCTTTCAGTAGTTCTTTGTGCAGCGCCCCCACAGGCGAGCGGGGGAACAGGTTGCTTCAACAGGTTGACTCGACTGCACAGTGCAGTGTGAATGCAAACTCACCAGCTCAAATGTAACAAAATGACATGAATATTGGTCCCCAACCGAACCGAGTCTACCGGACTATAAGGTGTGAATGCACCCTTAGACTCATTTATGATGAGAAATTACAGAGTTGTTACTGTATCTCTGCTAGAGTATTGCTAACAAAAACTACTGATGGCTCAGCTTTAGCTGATTTAGCTAAAAGTTTAATGCTAATCAAGATCCCATATTTTAGACAGTTTCAGACATTAAGTTGAGAAGCTGCTTAAAACCATTAGGTGTATTTTGTGGTCAAAGTATATTTGTTTTTTGGAGTAAGACTTTGTAAACACATATTCAGCAGTGTACCTTGGGTTAGTTGACTATTTCAGCCAATAGAAACCTCATCCCTACTAAGACTCAACCGAGGATGATCAGGTCTCGATTTATGTTCTTTAATTAGTTCAGTTTTTGAGGGGTTAATATTATGATAAAAATAGGCTTGTTTTTTGAAGGTTAGGGTTGAAAATTCTAAGGGATGAGTACGTTTGCTTGTCAATGTCAGATACTCAATTATTTTGTAACATTTCAGTACCAGTGTAATAAGTTATGTTTGATGTAATGGTAGAGTTTAGTATTTTTTTGAGGTGGTACTTATGAAATTTTCAGAACCACTGTCTTTCCTAACAGAGAGAAGTCCTGTCTGACTCCAGCACAGCTACGGTGTCAAAGCTGGATGCAGGACAGAGTTATTGCTTCAATGTGGCAGCTTTCATCCCCATCAGACCCAAAGCCCAGCAACGTGGAACCTTGAGCAAACAGCTGTGCAGACAGGGAGATGCACACATCCTGCAAGGTACACACAGTTTCAAATGGTTTCTAACAAAACTCAACCAATCTTCTACAAAAACCTGATGACATTGTTCCTTCTACAGGAGCTGCTGCTCCACTATAACTCAAACCTTTCCTTTCTAGGGGGACAAAAGAACCAAATCAGCCTTACTGATTAAAATGTCAGTTTCTAAAAAAGAAATTACATAAAACTTTTGGATCAGTGACAATACGAGTTTTGAAAACCATAGTCTTCAACTTTTCTTTCCTTTTTTCCAGTGATGGGACAGGATATGTTTCATGGTTGCACTGTGATATTATTGTTATACAAGGACATCAGACGCCTCTGTAATGTGAGGGGACACTGTGTGTGTGTGTGTGTGTTTTGGTGTTCTTGTGTGTAAATGTTTGTTGGGTGGTAAAGAAGAAAAAAAGACTGATGAAGTGATGTTGTAACAGACAAACATAAATGAGAAAATAGTAAAAATAATTTTAAAAAAAATTAAGAAAGGAAAAGAAAGGAAAAAAACAAACAAACAAAAAAAGAATAGCTGTGACACCGTTCACCTTCACCAGTGCAGACACCTTACCGAGCTGTGCTTTACATTTTATTTACAAATGCCAGTTAATTTACCTCCAGTGTTACAAGCGTTAAACCAGGACTATTCAACTAAACTTCCCAGGGGGCCACAGTTATTGAAAGCCAAGCACTCAGGGATCAGATATCCACTAGTTCTTATCATTAAGTTACTTTGTTTTATAGTTAAAACTCTAGTTTTGTTTTAAAAGAGTGAACCCATTGGTGGACCGAACTTAGCTCACCTGTGGGCCTGATTTGGCCCGCGGGCCGTCAGTTGAACAGCCCTGCTTCAAACTAACCTGTTGTTCCTTTTACTAAAGCCACGGAGTGACGTCCCGTTCCCTGAACAACTGACCATTAATATAAAGTTTGTCTACAGCCACCGTAGCTCTGACGCCCTCAGACATGTATTTCTTCCTGATAGGAAACAAAACTCGCCTCCGATCGAGGATCTCTTTAGGAAATTGATCGTTCACATTGAAGTCCGTCCCACGCAGCTCTCTGCCCGACCTCTCACCTGCTCGTTTTGTTTGTAGTGCTCAAATTTAGCTATAATTGGCCGAGGTCGCTTGTTATCGGGCTTCTTACCTCCGAGCCGGTCAACACGATGGAATGTGATGTTTTTTACAGTTTCACTTGGGAGTTTCAGCTGATGTTGGATAAACTCACGGATCGTAACTTCATCATCCTCCTCTGCTCGTTCTGGGATCCCAGAGAAGACAAGATTGTCTCTCATGCTCCGAGCTTGAATGTCCAGAATGGATTCTTTCATTTTCCTGTTTTCTCCGGACAGCTGCGACATCTTCTCAGTGAGTTCTTTGACGTTACCCCTCAGAGTTTGGTTCTCTGCAGCGAGCGACGCCACCTGAGCTTGGCTGAACTCCAGAGACTCCCTCAGTGCTTGAAACTCCTAGAACCTCCACCAGGGCCAGCCGGGCATCTAAGCTGGTTAGCTTCTTGTCTATAGAGCCCAGGACATCAGTGAAGCTTTTCTCTGGAGAGGTGGACGTGCTGGTTGAGCTCTCCGAACGCGTGCGTTTAGGAGTTGGTGTTGCCGTGGATGTTGTGTTTTTTTGTGGTTTACCCATCACGATGTTTTCAAAACACTCGTCCACGTATCTCTCCAGACTGTCCAAGGTTTCCTCGTCCAGTTTGGTTTATTGAAACAATATGCAGAGGTTATTATTAACAATATTTATTATGCTTGATTGTAATATATTGGCTTGTTTTACCTGAGTTGAATCGTTTTGTTTAGCGGTATCCTGCCATGTTACTTACACCCCTACTCCATTTCTCTTTCTATTCACACCATGGTAAAACAGTTTGAACCCTGCTCCAATGCTGCAAGACTTGCTGCCCTTCCACTTGGTTTCTTGGACACCTACAACATCTACCTTTCTTCTCAGCATCATGTCAGCCAGCTCTCTACCTTTGCCTGTCATTGTCCCCACATTTAGAGTTGCAACCCTCAGTCCTACTTTCTTCACTTTCTTCTTCTCTGTCTCCTGACACGTTTCCCTCCTCGTGGTCTTCGACTAAAAGTAGCACAATTTCCTCCGGCACCCTGTTTGTCAACAGCACTGGTGGTGTTCGTTGTTAACATGGGCCTCAACCAATCCAGTATGGTTTTGCTTTGACAAACTTGCATTATGGTTTTGGCAAAAGCGTTTTACATCAGATGCCGCTACTGACACAACCCTTACCATTTACCCGGGCTTGAAACCGGCACTAGAGATACACTGGCTTGTGCTCCCTAGTGGCTTGTTTTGTTGCTTTATAATATATAAAGCCTAAATATTTCCAGAACTGTGAGGGATAAACCCGCACTGAATATGTTTAAGGTAACAGTCTGAAGTTATCTACAGACATTTGCAGCAAAGCTTTGATTAGACTAAACAGGAATGTGGAAAAAAGTATGAGATAAAATGCAGTTGTGTTCTGTTCTAGTTACAATGACTACAGCACTTTGAAACTTTATGACAGTAGAGGTAGTTTGTCTACTTTGCGTGTTGTCCTGAAAATGCTTGATCACATTTGTTGGGAGACTCATTATAGAAGACTCTTGTTTTTTGATTTCACAATATGCATGATTTATTTGTTTTACGTAAAATAAGGGTATTTCTATGCTGTTTTTGACTGATGACACAGCATGCACTGAACACTAACAATGTGTAGCATATGCTTGTAAACTGTGACAGGTGATACATTAAATGTGTAGCACGTAGCAAGATGGCAACCTTATATCTCATGTAGCAACATCAGTGGCAATTCTTGAGTATTTATATTTTAGTAGGTATTTTCTCTCACTGTTTTCTAAATTGCCACCTGGTTTTAAATGTTTGCCTGGCCCTATAAAATCCTAAAGGTTTTTTTAAGTGTAACAGACCAAATTAAACTGTGCTCAGATTAATCCCAGGTATAGCCAACAAAGTCAAGGCCCTCTGGGTGGTTTCTTTGTGTTGAAATGTTTATTCTTTCATCCAAAAGACCTCATCAGTTCGAGGAGCCACAACAATCTCAGTCTGATAAATAGAATCTTCACCTAGTGAGTCAACGAGTTTGATGGTGCTAAGAGGGTTTCTGAAGCCCACCCTCTCCCCCGCTGACTCATTTGAGGCAACCATGGCCAAAGTCTGCTTTTGACATCATCCAGTCAGATTTGCTCTGTCTCAAACTTGTGCTAAATGCAGACAAAACTAAAGGGATGTTGTTTTCAAACAGGAAGTTGGTCCCAGCAGTTCTTCCTTCTATTTTATCTTCAAATGGTGTTCCTATTGAGTTTGTCGATTCTTACAAATATTTGAGTATCTTGGTTGATTTGCATCTCTCTTTTAAGCCCCACATCGAAAACTTGGTAAATAAACTGAAACTAAAAGTTGGGTTTCTTTTTCAAGAAATAGATCTGGTCTAACTCTGAACACTAGGAAACACCTTTTAAATGTGACTTTCCTTCACTCCATTGACTATGGTGACATTATTTACATGAACGCTCCTGCAAGCACCTTGCAGATGTTGGATGTGCTCTATCAGGTTGTGCTAAGATTCATAATTGGCTGTAACTACCGTACCCACCATTGCACCCTGTATTCACTGGTTAACTGGTCACCATTAACTTCACGCAGACTCTTTCACTGGTACATTTTCATCTTTAAATCACTTCTTGGTCAGTTGCCTTCATCCATCTCCTCCTACACGTTACTATGTGAGTGTAGCTACAGTGTGAACTCTCAGGACATTATTACATGTGGTGTATCCTCAGTGTGGACTGAACTAGGCAAAAGGGCCTTCTCTTATTCTGCTTCTGTATCCTGGAAAAACTTGCCAAAAGATCTGAAGCTCTAGTCCTTGACCTCTCTAAGTGGCTTCAAACATCTGCTAAGTTCATGGCAAAAACCAGTGCAAATGTGGTGCATGGGTGTGGTTTTGGATCACGTGATGTCAGTAGTGATTTTAAGATCACCTGTTTGCTTACCTGGAGAGTTTGGTAGTGAGTGGGTGATGGGGGAAGTCTACCTTTTTGCTGACCGCTTTAAGCTTTAAGATTTAAGATTCAAGTTTTGAATTTTGCCTTTGATCACTGCTGGAACCTGTGGATCCATTTTTTATGCTGCTCTGGGACATGAATGCCTCTGATTGACTGATGTTTTGCCTTGGATTATGAAGATTATGACGCCAATAAACGAATCTTAATTGCAGCTTGGATTTATGTCTTAAAGAGCGGGTGTATCAACAATAATTTCCCCTACTCAGCTGCTCAGCGACTCAGTTTGTTTGACAGTTGCCAATACTTGGACGGCAACGGAGCCTCCCGCAAAGCAGGAATGCTAATTTGAGCTCACATGTCACTGTCAGTACACCTAAGAAAGCATATTGTTTGACAGAGAAGGCAAAGACAACAGTAGTATGTAATCTGTGTGTTTGGTGCTGTGTATTGCTTGTTTAAATGCAGTTTGGTTCCACCACTTGAAGATGTTGTTGTGACCACCCCCCCCACCACCACCACCACCACCACCACCACCACTACATTATGCTGTTGGACTGTGGCTGCGGGATTTGGTGTGCGTGGGTGTGCTGTGGCTCTGCGTGCCTCCAACAAAGTCTTCATCCATCCATTATCTTTACCCGCTTATTTCATTTTGGGTCACAGGGGTCGCCGGTGCCCATGTCCAGCAATCACTGTGCGAGGGGCGGGGTACACCCTGGACGGGTCGCAAGTCCATCACAGGGACACATAGAGACAAACGAGACAAACAACCATTCACTCTCTCACTCACACCTAGGGACAATTTAGAGTTACCAATCAGCCTAACATGCATGTTTTTGGTCTGTGGGAGGAAACTGGAGCACCCGGAGAAAACCCACGCATGCACGGAGAGAACATGCAAACTCCACCCAGAAAGGCCCCCGGACCAGGGTTTGAACCAAGGACCTGCTCGCTGAGAGGC